ACGACCTTACCATTAGTGATCCCATGTTTTCGTTTCAGTCAGATCAATTGCTGGCTTTTCTCACTTTGGAAAATTTTTAGAGCCTAGGTTAACTGTCTCTTTGGCAGGGCAAACGAAAGTCCATTGTTTCCAAAAAATCCATTGTTTCCATCGGAATCAATGAATTAACCTAGCTGAAGCTGTAAGTTTAGGTCAGTTGTAGTAAGATGAATATAACAGTTCAAAGCTGTTCTGTTTTTCCGGTGTTTGCAGTTGATTCAAAACTAATGCATTATCAAGCGGGTTATTTCTGGGCACGGAGCGTCACGTTCATATTTCTGTCATGATGGTGAAGTGAATGCTTATTACTTGAATACGATCACCATAGCATCTAGTTTTTCAGCACAAATGAAACAGTATGCTTGTGTTTCTAAATTAAATAGTGAATATGTCAATATCAGGAAAAAACAGATAGGTGAAACTATGATCAGAATGGTTTTCGCCGATTTATTGTGCAAAAAGCACAGGGTTTAGATTTTTGTCATAAGTTTGCATAGTATCAAAGTTTGCTGAAAATTACTAATTCTCGATCAAAACTAAAGCTTCAGGTGTAAATACATGGTGTGATAGTACTTGACTATATCGATTCAAGGTCAAGTTAATCCATCTGTTTCCTTTGCTGTTTTCGATCGATATGTTGGGAGGATGAACGTACGGCTCTGATCTGGTCTCTTGATCCTTCCATCGCATACCAAGTGTGCGTCTCGAGATGCCTTTAACTGTTTTGTGTCTAAAGAATTTGCTTCGCTCTGCATTGAAGACAAGTGTGGTAGTTTCTCTCAGATCGGATCGCTAGAATTAATAAGCGGTTAGATGCTTATGCTTTAAATCTACACTTAGGACATGGTCTGTTTTTCTGTCATTTGATGTTTAAACCATGATAATTCTGTTTTTCTGGGAGGGAGGAAACGTTGATTCTACTGTCTGGCAAAGCTGCTGTAGACTAACTCATTGTGTAAAAGTTATTCAGGTTCTTCTATTAGGTTAAGGTTGTGCTTTTTATTAATGGATGTGTCTCACGTTGAAAATCGAATGCACTTTTGTTAGTATTTCTTTTTTTCTGCGTCTCATTAATGCCTGGCAGTGGTCACCTTTAGTATAATGAAAAAGAGGAACATTTGTGGTTGTCGGTGACTTGTCGACTATTTGTGGCGACATTTTATAATGAAGGTTGTGGTGTGCCACTGATCTCCATTTCAGTGTCATCTGCCAAGGTTGCCTAACCAACATGTACTGTTACGTGACAGGCATAACCTGTCATATCGGGTTTCCTTCCGGCAAAGTTGTACTCATTTATCAACCTCGGAAGGAAGAAAGACGAATAACCCGACCGGGGACTCTATAGGGTCTTAATGCGACGGTCTACAGACTAAGCAACTTGAGTTTGGTTTTCTTTCGTTTCGAAAAGGATGAAGGTAATCATTTATTAACCCTTTCCCCTCGTTTCGTACCTTTATCTGCCAGCACGTATGAGGTCTTTCACTCAGGGATGTTCTGGCCTCGTTGGTAACCGACCCACCTCCTGTAAGTTTTATATGGATTTGAACAAAAAGATGTACTTGGTACTGGAAGCCGCTTGTTGACATTCTCCTAGTCACTGCTTTACCATGCCACTCTCTGCTGGCTGCACTAACGGCGATAATTGCACCTTCGAAGTGTAATCTTTAGATAATGTTTCAGAGCTGTGCTTTCTTTCATCTGTATCTTTAATCCAATATGTGTATGATTTGGCTGAACCTGCCAGAGTCTGCGATTCAGGTATTATTTACTATCAGATACCGATGATTACTCTTACACCACGATGCGATAAATGAGGTAGGAGGCTTTTGTAAAAGAAAAGAGCTAGCAAAGTTAGTCGTGGCTTTATTGGTTTTTAAGAAGATCCGAATCTTCACTGTTACCTTTTCAGACTGTGTGATTTTTTTTATCGAGATTCATATAGAAGTGTCCTCACTTTTTAAAACGGTATGTGAATAAGAGTGTACGGTTCTCACAGTTAGGAAGAAATGTCATCTTGAGTTTCGCCAACTCATGATTAACATAACTACTTTAGTCGACCGTTTTATGATTCACTATTGGCCCTCATGACTACCGTATTTTACTGTCATGCGATTTTCTGGGTTTTTGAAGGCAGTGCTGCTGTAAATGAACCCGCTTTGAACTTGCGCGATCTCGCATTCTCTCTTCGTGAGTGATTGCATTTTTAACCATTGAAGGCACCCCCTCCATGATTATCATATATCTTGTGTGTATTTGTCCTAAGGTCAGTAAGTTAAAGCCTTTACAGATTTGGAGCTGTACTGTTAACCGATTACAGCAACCCCGGTGCAAACCTTTAACTTTCAAATCAAATAGAGTTTTGCAGCCTTTTGAGTATTTTAACTCTGCACTAGTTTTATTACTGTTAATCAAGTATTGATTCATATTATGACTTTTTTGTTTTGATTTGGATTTTACCTCTCAGAAAAGCCCCTCAATTATTAAAAATTTTAAACGCGGAAACATTTCTGAGCTTTGAACCAGCTTCCAGAATCCTGTCTGTAGAACGATAAAACTGACCGAATTGACTTGCGGTTTACCCAAACGATAAAACTGACCGAATTGAACGAATCTTCTGAGGCTACCCCCTTTCCACACCGCGTTCACCCCCCCCCTCCACAACCCTAAATGAATATGAGGCGCTGAAAATTTATGAGAGTCTGTGAATTAGTAGTCAACCTTAGTAAAGGAGTTTGCTGTTTTTCAG